CAATTGAATCACAAATATATATATCAATCAATCAAATCCGCCTCTGAATTGTTTCTGATATTTATTTCATTGATTTTTCTTACAAAACATGTATTTATTTTTATTCTCTCTATAAATTGGTTAAATAGTTATCAATACTAACAGTATATCAATAGCTATAATACCGTACAAATTGATTAAGTTTTTAATGATAACAAATGCATATTTTATTATGTTTTTTACAAATCAAATGTTTAAATACATTATAATATATTGAGAGGAATAACAGTACATAACAGTATATAACGGATTATTATAAGTAATTATTGTAAATCATTTTAATTGTCAAAAACTTGTTGTATTTTTTTGTTATCAATTATAAGTATAAATATTGCTGAGAAATAACATGACTATAAAAAACTAATGATAAAGTTGGTCACTAACTGATTACTTTGGATTGACTTTGCTGTTGTTGAATAGCATCGTGATAATTGGGCAAACCGTTCATTTGTATTATGTGTTCGTACGACGGGGGAGGTGTGGGCGGCGGGTAGTTGTGTCCGCCACGGGTGGTGTGAGTGCTCTGTCTGTCGGTCGTATAGTTTCTGTAATTGATTAATCCATTTGTGGGCAGAAAATGACTGGCGTTTGGATTGTGATTGAATATAGTGTTAAAGAGTTCGTAGTTATTAATGATGTGAAACAAATCAGATGATTGCATCTCCTGTTGTTGTTGTGGCTGTGGTTGCGATTGTGTTTGCCTTCTGTCGTGACTTGTGTTACGAGCCATCGATTCGCTGATGGATTGCTCACCGAATCTATTGTTTAGGTTTGCGTTCATATAATAGATGCCAAACTGATTGTGAATTTTGTTCATTTTCTTGTAATAGGCGTTAAATACTCTGTAGAAGTAGTAGATTATAATACACGCGATTAACGCTAAAGCCAAGCGCCAGAATGTGTACCGAAGCGATCGGAATGCATAGCCCATGCATATGAATAGGGCTAATATGATTCCGATTATGGCTATTTAGTGGTCATCGATTATGGAGACAATTTTATTTTTAAATTGTTAATTTCAAGTGTTTTTTATACAAAATACAAAGTTATTTAATGATTGAAAAATTTTCATACTATACCTCCCATATAATCGGCGATTAAATTACACCCGAATTTCATGTTTAATTTGTAAATTTCTAGTCACAGAAACTATTATAATCGAGTATTTAAAACAAATATTTGAATAATAAAATTCATATCGATGAGTGAACTTTAAATTTTAAATAATAGTGCAAGTACAGTACACTTATTATGTAGACTTATTTTATTGCATTTGATCGATAAATTTGATAACACATTAATTATGATCATAAAATTTTGAAAAAACATTGCATTTCGATATCATTTTAATGAATATTCGTGATATGCTTTGCTGTATACGATATTTTTTATGGCATAATATGTTATATAACTATAGTTATGGTAACAAACATTGTATACATTGAATATTCTGTACTACAGAATCTGCTGTCTTTTGCGATATATATCAGAAAAATGGATTTTTTATTGAAATAATAAGTCAGTCGGTCTCTAATGTCAAACAACATGATAATTTTTGGTATAGAAAATATACCAATAATTATATAAATCAAAAATGATATTTTTAACAAAAAAACTAATTATACCATTAATTACTTTAGATATTTATTTTATAATAAATAAAATCTTATAATAAAAACGAGAACAATTTTCAATCCAATAGATAAGGAAATATAATTGCTTTTTATTTTTTGTTTTGTATTTTAATTGACTATAAATGGTTTAATAATCATTAACAACATTAATAAGCTCTTTATATTAATTATCATGCACATAACTTATTCTGTATTAATCTTTAATGCATTGCAATATAAAAAACATTGAGTTCTTCAGCAATGAATAAAAATCAATTATAAGGACTTTGTTTATAGATATTGTTAAATGCAGTCAAACGAATAGCTGATGTCTTGATAAATCCATCGGCATTACTGGGCGTGAAGTCTCCCTGAATGTCCATACTTTACAAATGCAAACCATTGTTAGTGTCGATTAACTATTATAGTTAGTAATAATTACTTATGGACTGCTCAACGACTAGCATATCGCTTAACTGTCGAAAAGCAGGAGATTATTTGCGTAAAGGAAACTTTTCAGCCTATTATTGCTTTGGTAACTGGTCTCAAACCGTCAATTTGAGACACGCCCGCATGTAATCGCATTCCGGCGAATACCACAAACCGTAATACACTTTTGAATCATATTATGTATCAAATAATATGTGGTTTATATTCAATCTTATCGTCAAAATTCTAGTTTTAATCGGTTTTGTCTTGGATTTCAACGCGTATTTTGTACTACAAAAATGATAGATTAGTTTCCAAACCAAAAAGTTTGATTAGATTTATGCTTTAAATTTATGATTGATGTGATTGTGGGCCAGAATCGAGAATTTTATTGTTTCAAATATTAATTACAAAAATCAATTAATTTTAAGGCACACTAAGGTGTCTAGTTCATTTCTTTAATACTTTGTTAATTATACAAATTCTTTGAATTCTTATGCGTTTAGAGAATGTATATAACATTATAAACCAAATTCTTGAATTACATGTTTAAAATTTTATGATATTATACAAAACTTCGTAACTTAAAAGCTTTACACAGAGACAATATTTTGAATTAAAAAACAGAATGTAAAATATATCCACAGAATTTGAGCTTAAAATTTAGTGATAATTTAATTATCTAATCAAAAATGAAATGTTTTCTTAAACACACTTTGATATAAGAGTTAAAATAAACAAAATATTGACTTGAATTTGACGTTTATGGTAAAAACAATCTTGTTGTCAATTTACCGACATTATTAATACAGTAAATCCACAGTTAGTGACAACTATGATACTATGGATTACTTCATAATAAACTAAAATATTTTATCCTATTTTAAACTAATCTAGATAAATTTTATAAATCTGAATGCACAATATTGTACCAAATAATTATTTTAAAGGTGATCTGAAATATGCCTAAAAATGTACTTGGTGAGACAGATTTTTGCGAAATATTCTTTACATATTTTAAGTGATATGTTGTATAAGTTATATCAATAACTAAACATCCGGTCCAATATGTATTGATAACAAATCATGAATTTATTAAAAATAAATTGATAAATATTTTAGTGATAATTGTCTGGAAGTGTTGTATATAAAGATGTCATTTAACACAAACTTATATACAAATCAAACGAACTTTTGTTTGAATAATTGTAAGTTTAGTGATCGATAAAACCGTTCAGTTGTCTGTATAATGTCTTCGGGCAATCAAATGAAAGTTGTATTGGCCTATAGTGGAGGTCTGGACACCACTTGCATACTGTTTTGGCTCAAAGAGCAGGGCTATCAAGTGATCTGTTATACAGTAATTATATCATTATTGTGTCTCAAAATAAATCTTAAAATATTTATACAAATAAAAGACAGACGTCGGTCAGGAAGAAGACTTGGAACAAGTGAGACAACAAGCCTTAAAACTCGGTGCCATTAAAGTAAGCATTTGTCTACTGTATTGAATATTGCTTTATTCTTACGTTAAATGACATAATTATAGGCAATCGTTGACAATAGGATTGAAGAATTTGTCACAGAATTTGTGTACCCGTCGCTGTCATACGGAGGCATATATCAGGGCCGGTATCTGTTGGGCACATCCCTGTGTCGGCCCTGCATTTCCAAAGGTATCGTTAAAGTAGCGAATGAAGAAAATGCACAATACATAGCCCACGGGGCGACCGGCAAAGGCAACGATCAAATCCGGTTTGAATTATCATGTGTGTCACTCAACTCCACAATCAAAGTATTCAAACAGTTATTATATAAACATTTATGTGATATTAATTCTAAATGAATGCCCGAAACAGTGTATAACTCCGTGGAGAATGAGTTCATTCTATAATCGATTTCAAGGGAGACTGGATCTCATAGAATACGCTAAAGTAAGACATTTGACAAACATTTTATTTATGTCCAGATGTACTGTACATTACGTTATATTTAATTGCTTGTGAATGACATAATGTGTATTATAATTTAGACAAATGGCTTCAAAGTGGGCGCCACACCCGACAAGCCCTACAGTACTGACGCCAATATTATGCACATTAGCTTTGAATCGGGCGTTTTGGAGGACCCGTTACATCCGCCCATCTTATTATAATTTAGACAAATGGCTTCAAAGTGGGCGCCACACCCGACAAGCCCTACAGTACTGACGCCAATATTATGCACATTAGCTTTGAATCGGGCGTTTTGGAGGACCCGTTACATCCGCCCATCGATGACATGTATTTAATGACCGCAAACCCCAGCGAATGGCCGAACGAAGCCGAAGACATTAAGATTACATTTGAGAAAGGATTGCCGAAAGCGGTCGAAAATTTGTATACAAAAGTCAAAGTCGAAAAACCTGTTGAGATTCTTCAGTATCTGAACAAATTGGGCGGAAAGCATGGAATCGGCAGAATTGATGTAAACATTTATATTGATTACATTCTTGTTTATCAAATACATTAATGTGATCTTATGTTCAGATCGTTGAGGATAGGTATATAGGAATGAAATCTCGCGGAGTATACGAGACTCCCGGCGCAACCATTCTGTGGACAGCCATCAGAGACTTGGAGTTACTATGTTTGGATCGGGTATTGAATGAATGCTACAATTTGTCGACATTTATTAAACTATTATTTGTTTAACCGATGAATGTATAGGAAGTAAACAAAATACGGGCCAAATTGGCGCAAGAATTTGCTGAGAAAGTGTATTACGGTTTGTGGTATTCGCCGGAATGCGATTACATGCGGGCGTGTCTCAAATTGAGCCAAACTCTGGTCAATGGTTTCGTTATTATCCGACTTTTCAAAGGAAATGCGTTTATTAGAG